GTTTTCCCTCAAGGATCCAACTCAAATATTGAACCTGACTTTAATGCACTTGTTGAAGCCTGTCAATTGGTAGACCCACTAAACCCCTATACAGGAAGTTGATTTCGGCGCTCTGATAAAGAAAAGTCTTGATCCCGGATCCTATAAGTCTTTCCCAGTAGATAATGCAAGGTTCTTCAGCTGATGTGGATGAAGGAACTCGTCCAGCCTGACTGCCTTGAACAAGCAGGTGTCTTCCCTGGTTGCCCTGGTATGAAAAAACTCAAGTAGCCTTGCAGTTCAAATTTATCAGGAATTTCCTTTGAGTCTTGGCAAAGGAAAAGCGCACACAAAAAAAGAGAATAATCAAATCACATGAATTCTACTTATTGAAGTAACTCACTCTAAGCTAATGTTCATGTTGTTCCTATCTTTGGCGGAAGAGAGGTTGGTGGTGAGATGGACACTTCCAGCACTGAAGATGTGCTTAGTGCTCTGTTAATGGTAATAATCAGGAATGCAGGATTCCTTGATAAGTCCCACATCTTCACAGAGGAAACCTTGAAAGTCTTGAGAATCTGCAATCCACTTGGAAAATGATTAAAGTCCAAATCCTTCACAGAATTATAATCCAACATGGCAATGATGATGATGAGCAGAAATAAAGCCAAATCCAAGTCCAATCTGTAAGTCCAGTCCACCATAGCCCCTCTGCTGGAATTTCCAATGGTGAACTTTTGGAACTGCTCATCTCGCAGGGCGCCAGAGACTGACCCAGAACGCCTCCTGGCATCCCAGTTTATTCTTTGTCGAGTGCCCACTCACTCCACTTCTCTCTATAATATCTAGTCAACCAATCAGTTGTTTACATAAGATTCACTGATCTTCAGCCCCACCTTATCACTCACTCTTTATCTCTCTCTTTAAGTATGGAAAATGTCATTACATTGGAACAAGTCACCCACATGATCCCACATGTATACTGTACTTACTAAAGGTGTATTAATCAGCTGGTAATAACACTCAGTGGAATCATCATTTACTCCTCTTCCACTCACATTTTCTAACAACTATTGCTGGTTTAGTGATTTCTTTAGCCTTTTATAGCACTGTGTATCTGCCAACATTTATAAATTCAGTAGGTACAAAGAGGCTTGAGGCTGAAAACTATGAACAGCGAAGATGGACAGATGAACTGTTTCCTAATAACAGAAATAGAGGACATTATCAGCCTAAAAATTTATCTTACATGCAGCAAACAAGAATTTAATCATAAATTTACTCATTTGTCACTTGTTTGTCTGATTATCGTCTATGTGCTGGAGCTGCAGTGGCACAGACTGCACCCAGATAATCCTTCAGTTATTACACTATGGTTGACTAAAGTAGCTGTTTTAGGAAAATATTTAAAAGCCACTATTTTAGGAACTTGTGACGCAGCAGTCCTTGCTTGTTTTAATCCACCACACAGTCCTCTGTTCACTTCTTCTCCACCAGCGATGCAGATCTCTTAGTCATTGTTGTTTCATCTGCGTGGTTCTTGCTTCTAAAAATACATATAAACTATGTGTGTGTCCGATCAAATGAATCACTCTCCGGCTCATGTTTTTCTGCTATCCACTCCTCCTCTCTTACTGTCTCCTCTCTGTCAGCAACTCCTCCCTTCTTCCTCTTTCAAGACACGTCTCTCTTTCCGTCTCCAGCTTAAGCCTCTAATTGTCCTTCCAGTTATATTTATATTCGCATGCAGTCTGTGAGGAAGAGAGAGAGACGTCATGAGGCAGTCGATGTGTCCATGCGTGCATGCAGGTTGTCGCATCTCGTCAAAATCTAGCAGCACTTTTCCTCCCTGTCAGATTGCGTAGAGGAGTTGCAGTTATATAAACCACAAATCCAGTTTCCACTTGGTATTAAAATGATACCCTAATGACACCTCCATCTTCCTCTGCGTTCACACCTCCTTTCTTTAGGTTTATCTGTTTTATTACTAATATGGCTTATTTTTCTATTCATCCTGAACATTTTTAGCAGTTCACTACATATGTTTATACAATCCAAACTAAGGACAGTGTTACCCAAGATGAGTTATCCAATAAGTCCTGTCTGTTATTTGTTTTTTTCTGTTGAAACTTTTTAATAAAAATAGTTTAAGAATATATTAATCCTTTAGTTGCTTACACAGACCCAGAGATTCCCCGACCGGCTGTGAGTAGTTGTTGGAGGTTGTTTTGCAGGTACAGTAGTGCAAAAATTGGTATGTAGTGCTGCACCGAAATCCTCCTTGTAGCTGCTTTGGTCACCACCTGATTGCTGTGGTTGCCTGTAGTTTGCATGGAAGACGGTAACTTGTTTGTTAACATTCTACTCACCAAGCAGGGGGAAGTGTGAAAAGTGTGCTGCAGTAAATTTGAAGGCAAAACTTTTATTTGAATGATGAATTTCTAAGTTTCACTACAGCTTGGGGAGTAAATGACGAGCGTTTGCAAACAAATTGGTACCTTCGAGCAAAACTACAGGCAACCATGTTAGCTAACAGGCGAGCCAGGATACAGCAGTCTTCTGTACCTACAAAGCTGTTTGAAAATAAATCTGCTGAAAACATTAAAATGTAATTTAGTGTTTAATAAATCCACAGAGCTAAAAGGTGCTTGAATAACTAACTTGCTACAGTTTCTAAATTTAGCCTCATTTGTTAAAATTACAATCAGTGTTTAAAACAATTTGCTGAAACAGTGATGTTACACCCTCAGTCACAACTGGTGTTGAAGTGATTTCTGTACACAACAACGATCCTGACTCACAGTCTATGAAAAAATTACATATATTTTTTGCACTAAGAAAGTTAAATGCATTTGTCTTGGTTTTTATTTTCAAACAACATTTGAAAACACTTCACTATATACAAAACTGAATCTACAGCCTGTCAAATCATATGATAGTTACAATTTGATAGTTTGTCTAGCTTGTAAGGACCATATATCTCTAAATAAATAGCTTTTAATGGGCTCAAAAATATACCATTATCTATATTTAAAAGATACTTTGAATACATTTACATTAAAAAATAAAAGCTGAATTAAAAGGCTGAAACATTCTGTGACAAGTGTAATTATCAATATTTACAAAGGCATTTAAAAATGAATACAAAATGAAGGCGATGTATTACAAAACAGCTGGTTATACTTTGTAAATTAGATCAACGAGAAGATTTCTTTTGAATGTTATTCTGAAAGTGCTGAACCTGCATCGGTTCTACTCGCCTGTTTTATGAAACCAGATTTGATGTCTCCTCTCCATCATCAAGGCTTTGTGAATGTAATAAATGTAGTTATTAAGACTATTTCTCATTTTACTCTTAACTCATCTGCATCACACATGTGATCAAAATGGTTAGCAAGAGAAAACTTATCTGTTAAAGTGATACATTATAAATGGCTTGTTTGCATGCTAATGCTAGCTCTGTTTCCATGCAAAGCAGATTGTAACTGCTCTAAGAACGCCTGTCACTTTCCTGTCAAAGACCAGAGGTTTATCTACAATATGCATCTGCAATCAAGCAACTGTAAGCTGCTGGTCTCCCAGCTTGTAGTTGTATTCAAATGACTACAATAGCTTGACTGCAAGCAGAGTCAATCCTTCCAGAGATGATTACCAGCTTCGACCACAAGATCGCAGTGATTTCAACTGGATACAGTTGAATACAAGACTTACGAGAAAACACAGAGATAAAAATAGATTTTTACATTTTTATTTATTTGTAAATTTCGCTGGACAAGCGGAACTTGCTTTGCTTGACCAACAGAACTCAGTCAATTTATTTTCTTTGTGAACTTCATACATGTTCTTTGCAAACAGAAAGTATATCCACTGGCCACTGCTTTATCTGTTTAACTTCATATAATCAAATTCTTGTGCGTTTATTATAGTTGGTGAAATAACTGCATGTAGTATTATTGTTAAACGCTTCCCTCTATTTTATGTCTTTTCCAGGTCTATTACCAGGGCTTACTACCGTAACTCTGTGGGTGGGCTTCTCCTCTTTGATATCACCAATCGCCGATCTTTCCAGAATGTCCATGACTGGCTGGAGGAGGCTCGTAGTCATGTCCAGCCACATAGCATCGTATTTCTATTGGTGGGCCACAAGTGTGATCTGGAGGCACAGCGGCAGGTGTGTACACTGTAAAGTAGATTAAAACTGAATTAAAACAAGCAATTGTTGTGAAAGGTTACGCACTATGCAATACAACGAAGTCACAGTTTTAAAAATAACTTTTTAACATTTATTTATTTGTTTTTGTTTGTATTTATTTTGTTCAGAGGCGCAGTTTATTGTCTTGGGTCAGCAGGCAGACAGAAATAAAAATATATCCCCTCTGAAAATTAGACAGCACAACACCACATCTACATTAATATCCCACCATCGTGAGAGCAGGAATAAAATTACGCAACATTTCCTGTATTAGCCACTTACCCCTATCTTGATCTGCCCACTTTCATAACTTTGTGTTAGAGGACTCGTTTACCAGCTTTTCAGTTGCCATCATAAATTGGTCAATAATGCTTCAGCTTTATTTTGTAACAGGACTGAACAGTCATTATCTGTGAGTGTGGAATCAGGCCTATGTCAGCAGAATAACACACTTTAGAGTAACTGTAGACTCTTTGATCTTTGGAATGAAATAGATGATACATGTAAAATTAAAAATTTAAACTGTTTTGTGCAGGTTTGCTCAACTCAACTCAACTTCAAAGCACTTTGAGGAAAATGCAATATCAGTGCGCTCAAGTTCAAGGAGTGTTTTAGCCTCTTATTGGTTTGGGATTTTTAGGGCATATCCCAATATGATGCATAATAATGTCTTGATGTGGAAATCTGCAGCTGACGTAGTCACTCAAATTTGACTTTGTGTGCGAATGGCAGTCCAATCCCCAAAAAAACCCTACAGCTTGTCTTCTTAGTCCTTGCACTTCCTGATAAGACCATTTGTTGTTGAATTGCTGTCGTGACACTCAAATGTGTTTTACAGCCACTACAGGAGATAGCGTCATTAACTCACTTAACTCATTTGATCTTGTAGGTGACCCGCCAAGAAGCAGAGAAACTGGCTGGGGCGTATGGGATGCGCTATGTTGAGACGTCAGCCCGTGACGCCATCAATGTGGAACACGCCTTCACTGAGCTGACCAGAGACATCTTCGCCCTGGTTCGGTCTGGTGACATCACCATCCAGGAGGGCTGGGAGGGTGTGAAGAGTGGGTTTGTGCCCAATGTGGTTCACTCATCCGAGGAAGTGACCAAGAGTGACCGCCGCTGTCTCTGTTGATCTGGGAAGACTGAAGATAGGGGAGTGAAGTGGATCAGAGAGGGGTAGCTGACGGACTGAGGTGTCAGCCCTCTGACTGAAAACTGGTGGTAACCCTCGTTGTTCTTTCTTAGAAAAGACACAGAAAGGGATGTTTGGCATATTTTAACAAAAAGGCTGGTAGATCATGGAGAAGAACACCTTGAATGTGGGTGTAAGACTAAAAATGGTTGCGCCCATTAAAGATGCTCATTTGAGGGCTCCCTTTTCTTTTGTTTTGGGCTTCTTTCCTGAATAAACCTCCCTTGCAAAAGCCTTAGAAAGATGATCCATTTCATGTTTCTTCCTCCGTTTAAGTCTTCGGTCACCTCTCTGCTCCCTAGCCTTCTCCTCGCAATATGCAATTACACGATCGCACTGAAAGCTATCACTCCTACGTTAGTGTCCAACATCTTTTTCAGCATTTTCAGTGTAGTGTACTTAGATTCAACCTCATTGATTATTTGATTAGCATCTACAGTACTGTGCCAAAATCTTGAGTCAGCCTAATGTTTTAAATATTGTGTTTGGAAAATAGGAAATAGTTGCAATAATGTCCTAAAATGTGCAAATACAGAATCCCAAGACTATCCCACTCTGCTTCAGTTATGTTACGATCCGTGCTCTGGGGAGGCCAGTCCATGACTGATATTGCTCCACAGTGTGCTTTTCTATCCGGGTATATTTGTACTGCATAGGAAATGCTTTTGGGATCATTGTCATGCTGAAAAAAAAGCTGTTCCCCATCAGATGCTTTCCAGATGATATTGAGTGGTGGATCATCGCATCTATTTTGAGAAAATCTCCAACACCACTGGCTGAAATGCAGCCCCAAACCATGGCAGAGCCTCCATCATGTTTTACGGATGGCTGTTCGCACTCACTGTTGTACTTCTCTACTGATGTCCTTTGGACAATTTGAACCAAAAATGTGAAATTTGGATTCTATGGTCAATAGTTCAGTGGCTTAACAACAACCCCCC